GCAACTGCGCCGGCAGAGGGCCACCTGAACGGGTGTGCCGTTGTGGCGAACTGCGCCACCATGCAGGCGGGGAGGACAGGCAGAGAGAGAGAGAGCGGCCGAAAAAGGGGGCGGGAGGGAAGCGAGCCGCCCAGGGGGACGGGTCACGCCCCCAGCGTGTGTCGCGGCCGGCTCCGCCTGCGGGCTCGCATGGGGCACAGGCAAGAGGCTGAGCTAAGGATCACCTCGGGCCGTTTCGGACGTCTGGCTCGGGAGAAGTCAAGGAGGGGAAAAAACACAGACACAATTCATCGTCAACTCCCAGAAAATATGGGAAGTGAGGGGAATACAAAAACCCAGAAAATATAAGAAAATACTGCGAATCCTGTTCTTTGTGTGTATTCATTCGTGTGTCCCAGGGCCCCTTCAGAAATTTGTTCGTGGCCGAGGCTCGCCGTGGCCAGAACCCCCCCCCCCTTCGTTCCTGTTCCGGCGCTCCTTATGGTCGCGCGATGACTGTACACCAGCCGAGCCGGTCGATCCACGCCCTGCCCCTCATCATTCAGGAGGGGAAAAAACACACAGACACAATTAATCGTCGATTTCCCAGAAAATATGGGAAAATTTGGGAAGTGGGGGGGAAGACAAAAACCCAGAAAATATGGAACAAATATGGGGAATATTTTTATTTGTGTATATTTATTGAATCGCTTCGCTCATTCCGCCGGCCCGTGATATGGCATCGCTGGTTTTTGTCTGTGTGTTCGTTGCCCATGTTGCGCTCTTGGGGGCGGGTGTCGTTCGGACGCGTTGCGTGGGGAGTTTTGATGGTGAAGCAGTTCCCTGGGGGTCGTCTCTCGATGGGGCGAAATAGAGTCGTCGTCAAGATGCTTCTTTGGGGGGCCTCTTGGGGTCTGTTGAGAGGCCGTTCTGGGGCGCCTGGGAGACATGTTTGAAGCCTTCTGGGGCTTCTTTTGGGCCTCCTGGGAGTCTCCTGGGGCCTCTTGGCGACATCTTGGGGCCTCTTGGAGGCCTCTTGGGGCCTCTTTGGGACCTCCTGGGCGCCTTCTGGGACGGAGGGCTCCATTTTGAGTTCTCGGTATCCCTCCTGAGTCCCTCTTGGGCCCGTCTTGGGGCCTCTTGGTCCGTCTTGGGCGGCACTTGGGCCGTCTTGAGGGCTCTCTTGGGTCGTTTCGGCGCCGTCTTGGGAGCTTCGTGGGCCGTCTTGGAGCGGTCTTGGGGGCCTCTTGGGCCGTCTTGGAGCGTCCGGAAGCCGAAAAAGCCAGAACACAAAAAACATCGAAAAAAACCAATGAAAAACAACGATTTTGGCCTCTTGGGGCTCTCTTCGGAGGCCTTTTGGAAGGCTCTTGGGGCGTCTTGGAGGCCTCTTGGGCTGTCTTGGGGGCCTTTTGGGCCGTCTTGGGGTCATCTTCGGCGTCTTCGAGCGCTCTTTGGGCGTCTCGGGGGCCTCTTGGGCAGTCTTGGGGGCCTCTTGGGGCACTCTGAGCGCGCTCTGGGGAGCCTGAGAGGCCGCACCCAGAAGGAAAACCATCTCTGAGTAGACTTGGTCGGGCGGCGGTCGGGGTACTTTTCGCCGGGGGACCCCCAGGGGCCGCCCCGCGCGCGCGAACTAGAAATACTGTTAATACTGTTAACCAGTTACCGGAGATCTTAGCACGCCCTGGCCCGTTGGGCCGGCGAATTTGTGTGTCCCAGGGCCCCTTCAATCATGATTGAGCGGGTCTGGCATCATCCATAGTATCGTCCAGCGGCCACGGCCGGCGGCCTCGCGCTCAGGCGGTTCCCGTTCAGCGGTGGCTTGGCCCGGCGCGGTAGCAGTAGAGCATCTCGCGCCCTCGTAGAGGCCTGCCTTCGCCCAACGTTACTCCAGATTTCGTAATAAAAGGGAGGGGGTCTCAACCCTCCCAGACGATAAGTTTTAGACCCCCCCCGTGGGAGAACCCTCCAAAACATCGTCCCCAGACCCCCCCAGGCCCTCCAAGATAGCCTGGAAGAGACCCCCCCCGAAATGAGACCCCCCTCCCTTTATTACGAAATCTGGAGTACCTATCAGCGCCGGCACCGAAAGGCTCCGAGCTTGCAGAAGTGTCAAAAGTGTGGCGCTAAAGACGCTGGCCAGTCAGCTGGGCAGGATGCTGGCAACCAAGGACCCTTCACAGCAAGTCGCCACAATTGCTCGCAGCGGCCGCTCGATGTTATGGAGGTCCCACGATGAAGGACAAGGCTTGGAAGCTGCACTCGCTGCCGTCTCTGCTCGTTCTTGGACCCTCCTCAAATCTTCTCTTCTTGAGAAGCTGCGCCCTTGCCTACTGCCTTAGCCAGCGCGGCTGCGGCGTTGGCTCAGGCTGCGGCGTGCTGGCTACCCCCCCAAAGCTCGCGCACATCGCCGTCACATCCGCCACAACGGCGGCCGGCTCCCCTCCACCCGCGCCGCGGCGCAACCGGACGTTGCAGAGGTGGGCCAACGGCCCCCACCTCGGCGCTGCCTGGGCCAGAGAGGCCCAGACGTACCCCCAGGACGACGTGCCCCCAGTGAGGCGTCGCAGCGGCCAAGATTTAGAGCCACGGACTGCGCGCCAGCACGCCGCCCTCGGGAGTCTTGGGTTGGGCTCTGAGGCCCCCCTCCTGTCAGAAGAGGAAGAGGTACCCATACCGCTAGCCTTCCCTCATATTCCTTTTTCTTTGGCCTCCTGGGGCGCCCCCGTGACCACCGCTGGATTCGCTTCGAAGTTCTGGTTAGAATCGGAACAGGAAAAAAACACATAAGCACAAAGGGTTTTATTGGTTTTACACTGGAAGGGGGCGTCGTTGAGAGGGTGCGCCTGGCACGGATGCGGGGATCGGGGTGGCGTCGGTGTTTGGAGCTGGCGGTTTGCGTGGCAAGTGCGTTTTCTCTGGTCGCATTTGTTTGGAACACGTGACGGGTGGACAGGCCGCCCACTTGCATGTGGCAGTCCTCTGCCCGCGTGTCAGAACAGATCGTCGCGCGCTCGCAACGGGGTGTGGGAAATGGGTATGGGAAGTGAGCGCGAGCTTCCTTCCCCAAGAATCCCTTCGATTGGCAGCAACACATATTTTTCTGTTCATACGCCGCGCGGCCAACTGAACGAACGAACAACTGTCCCAGCGCAGTGTTAGCTTCGCTTGCGCGCATCCTGGCTTCCTTCCGTTGCTTCTTTCGCTTCTTTCTCGCCCTCCTCCTCCTTTTCCTCTTCCCCTGCTGTGCTTTGTCCCGCCCCCCCTTCCTTTCCAGCTCGGAGCTGTCGCCGCACGCGGAAAGGCAACCCAAAGGGCGTTGCTGTAATTCCTTTGTGTGCCACGAAGTCTCGTGTAATTCCTTTGTGTGCGGCCTGGTTACATTGCCAACGCGGGGGGCACACAAAGGAATTTCCTTTGTGTACGACGTTGATGCCGGCCCCACAAGAGCACACGCGATTCCTTTGTGTAGGGCTTGTTTTCCCGCCTCGAGGAACGCACGGGGCCTGGCGCTACAAACGCAAGGCCGCGGCGCCTGGCAGTGCGATGCAGCTGCGCCGGATACCACGCGCAAAACGATCCAACGTGGATTCCGGCACTTCTGCCGAAATCGCGCTGGCAGTTGGCCAACCACATCGCCGGCCCTGCATGCCCTCGCGCGCTACTGCGTTCTGCTGCCGCGACGCGTGCTGCTGTCAACGGATGAACAAACTGATCTTGCATGGTGGCTCGGCTGTGCCAAACCACCATGTAATGTCTGTTGGTAGCGGAGCTTGGGATTTTGTCGCTGCCGACAGCGCTGCCGCACCATACCTTGTCAATTGCATCTCAGAAAACGGCCGTATATCAACCCTGGTGCACATGCGTTGCACCGTTGGTGGTGCCAAAACCTTTTGCGTGACATTCTTTTGTGTGTTTTCTTTGGCTCCTATGAACGCACCCCTGGAGAGGTCTGGGGAGTAGCGGTATCAGTCCTTTTTGTTTTCCCCTCTCCAGGGCATGTCTGTTCTGGAGTGCGTTTGGCCTCCCAGGACTGGTGCGCCGCCGCAGCAAGAGTCATGCTGGCCAGCGGTGGCGCAGGCGCTGCACAGGCGTCCGGTGGCAGTATGCCCGAGCCCAGGGCTTCTTCGCCACCGACGCATCGTGCGCCATTGGGATTCGGAGTGCGGGCGGCCCTTGCCATTGCCATTGCTGGCGGACGACGACGACGACGACGACCTGGGTGGAGCGACGACGTTTGTATCGTTTCTCCGCGGTGTCGTTTTCTTCGCCATGTTTCCTCGTCGTCATCGTCGCCGCGTTTATCCTCCCCCCTCCTCCGAATCCTCGTCCTCGCTTTCTTCGTCGTCGTCATCGGTTCCCTCCTCATCATCATCATCATCAGCATCATCATCATGTTGATGGTGACCTTCCAGATGCCACATCGATGACGACAGCGCCGTAGACGTTACCCCTCACGGGAACTCTGGCGTCGTGAGAAGACCCGAGGCGCGACGTGCGATGCGCCCCGCCCAGCCCTGACAGGAAACTGCCCTCAGTCGCGGCTCATCATCCTTTTCCTTTTCCTCATCGTCATCCTCCTCGTCGGTGCAAGCCCGGGTTGCCAGGCTGATGGTCCAGGGGGGTCTGCGCTCACCGGAGGCTGCAGCACCGCTCGGCGACGAGATGTCAACCCACACCTGCAGGGTGGACGGTGGACCGCCTCCACTTGTCTGTGCGTCTCGGCCCTGGCCTCGGCCTCAGGCGTGGGTGCACCGCGAACCGCCTTTGGGCCAGCTCGCCCCGGTCCGCCTCCCCTCCCTGCCTCCAGGGGCGGAGGCCCGCGCACGGCCCCGCGGGCGGGCGGGCGGGCGCCCGCTTGGATGGAAGCCCTGGTGCACGCTGTGACGCGCGGGGCCGTCGGCAGAGCGGGCCCGTCCCGCATGCGCCGCCCAAGTGTGCCACATGGGTAGCGTCCGGCAGAGTGCCCTGGCGTTGGCAGCAGGATTGCTCTGAGGCAGGGTGCGCGTCCTCCCGGCCAGGACATGAAGCGCCGCGCCATCCTCGCCGACCGCAAGCGGATCGAGGAGAAGGTGGAAGAGGCAGCGGTGCCCGACCGGTGGCCGCCCGATGCGGACGGGGTGAAGCAGGAGGAGGAGGAGGAGGAGGAGGAGGAGGAGGCGGAGGAGGAGGAGGAAGAGGGGGAGGGGGGGAAGGGGGAGGGGGGGAGAAAGGAGACGGGGGGAGGGGGAGGAGGGGGACGTGGGGTGGGGGGGAGGGGTTTTGGACATCTTGTGTTGGACATCTGAATGTCAGAGGCCAGGCGGGATGGCGGTATGACCGCCCCGTGACTGGGACTAGTCGCCCACCCGGGCCTACGGGCCACCGCAACGGGGCCGTCAGGTGTGGACGCGCTGTCTGGCCGCCAGGAGTGGTGGCGGCACGGACGCTGCAACAAACAAAAAAGCACACTGCAGAAAGCAACCCCTCCCATTAAGTGGGAGGGGTGCGGAGCGAGTATGTCGGGATCGCCGGATCGCGCGCCCGCGCACGATCTTGGGGGGGGTGGGGGGGGGGGGGGGGGGGGGGGGGGGGGGGGGGGGGCAAAAACAAACCGCTCAGGAGGCAGAGGGGGCTGGTGGAGGAGGAGGCAAACAAGAAAAAAAAAGGGAAGAGGAGGAGTGGATGGAGGAGGGGGGAAGGCCAAAGAGAGAGGGAGGAGGAGGAGGAGGAGGGAGGAGGAGGAGGAGGAGGAGCAGGTTAGGAGGCGCAGGAAGGAGGCGGCGGGAGGGATGAGGAGAGGAGGAGAGAGGAAGGAGGGAGGGAGGAGAGGAGGAGGGGAGGGGCGGGGGAGTACGGAGGGGAGGAATGCCGGCGGTGAGGGAGGAGGAGGAGGAGGCTGTATGACTTTTTTCGGGCAGGCGGTGGGCGTGTCAGGAGTATTAGATGACTGTAGGAGGATGCTGAGTACTGAGGATGGGATGCGGACTTTATGATCTTATAATTCCCATTCTTGAGGAGTAGAGGCATGCGGAGTCATGTCGTCTCGGAGGACATTCGTCTGATGTAGGAGGCAGATGTTGCTTCTGTGATTACTCAGTGATAATTACTCTTTTGTATTTATTATTTACTTACTGATTATTATTATTACATTGCATCTGTATTATTAGTTATTGGATGAGTGCGTTATTAGTCTGCGTAAATAACACAGTAAAATGCTTCTTATTTATTATTAAGGATGAGTCACTTTATTATATTTATAATTTCCTGTATTATCAGTATTGATTATTTTAGTATTCCTTAATTATTATTAGACACACACAATTCAGTTGCTCGGGGGGCAGCAGCGGCGGAGAACAGGTTGTCGTGATAGGAAATTCGTGACAGCAGTGGAAGACGGCGGAAGGCAGGCGGTGCAAATTCATTGGCCAGTGTACAAGCTATTCCAATCGCCTCCTCCCTGCGAGTCTGGTCCCACATCGACCGAATTCACTCTAACCACCACTGCTCCGACCAGCTGGACCGACAGTACTCCGCAACGGATCTCCCGCACACACCCCATTCGTAGCGAAGACCCTTGGCTTGTTCCGCCTCGCCAAAACCTGTACCCAAAGTGCAGGAGGTAACTTCCCCACTGGATCCCTCCGCCACTCTGACTGGTGCCGTCGACCGACCCTCGACTACACCGAAGCACTGCGCAATAACGGACAGGATTTTGACGCAGTGCATGACATGAGTCGCGACGAAAATGAATCAAGAAGGACCTGACGCCCTCTCCGACGGCCCACACGACCATTTAGGCTGGACAGCGGCGTACACCCGTGCAGCAGAGCGCATCTCCGCACCGACAGTGCATCGCTGCTTGGCTGCCTACCCCCAGCTTGCTACGATGGCCCCCAGCGCCGACCCGAATGCTGGTCTTTCGCCGCTGCTTCAGGCAGTCCGACAACATGCGATGGACCCCACCCACAACGAGGTCACGACGGACCTTGTCGCATTGCAGCGGCAGGAGGCCGACATCAACCCGGGGGACTACCAACAACGTAAAACACACACATTCACATGGAATTCCGACGCTTGCAGCTGGGCTGTAACACTGCCATCGGCGCTATATTGACTCCGGACGGCAATCTAGCACACAGACACACACACACACACAGACACACACACACACACACCACGACATCGCGCAGCAGCTAGGTAAACATTGGAGCCGAGCCGTCACACGACAACCGATCAGCCCTCACAGCTTGGAGCGCTGGCTCGCCTCCGCACTTCCTGCCGACCCGACCCGCGACACCAACGCCAGACGCCGCCCCGAACCACCGGGACGATGCAGACCAATTGCATCACCACCCCGCACCCCCGCACAACGACACCAGCCCCCCCAACCCCTCAATAAATGGCGATTTCGCCCTCCTGGGCCTTCTGAACCTTCTGTGCCCCAAACCCCGCCTCGGAACTTCCTGGCAATGTCCTGAAACCTCCTGCGGCCTGCTGGAGCCTCTTGAGGCCTTCTGAAGCCCCCTGAGGCCGCCTGGGGCTTCAGAACACCAATCCACGACCGCACCCATGCCGCCCGGGTCGGTATTGCGCCCATCAACCCTCGGTCGGCACCGAGGCCGTCGCAGGCTGCGTCAAGGCCGCGAGCTTCCTCGGGGATGGGTTGCCCGGCCTGGGCCCGCACAGGCTCCGTACCGGTGGTTGGCAGCCATCTGGCTCCGTGGCAGCGGCTTTTCATTTCGACCAGCGGTATCCATTCAGAGGACTGTCCACACCGCTTGTCGAGCACGTGTGGCGCCAGAGACGCTGCAGAAGGGATGCCTCTCCTCCTTCCTCCTCTCCCTGTCCTCCTCCTCCGCCTCCCCTCCCCCACTCCTTGTTGGCCCTGTGGTACAAAACAGTCCCTCCCGCTGTCGTCTCCTTCGTTCGTCGTCGTCGTCATCGTCGTCGTCGTCGTTTCGTCTCTTCCGGTCCTCTCGCCCTTCCCGCTCCTTTTGTTGACCTTCGGCCTCTCCTCCGCCCTCGCGGGCTGTCCCTCGCTGCTGGCTGCACGGTGCGCAAGCGCACTCCCGCGCGTGCGCCTGCGCGTGCTCCCGGGGTGCGGCGCTCGCCTCCTGCAGCCCGGAACCGCCCCGGCTCCCTCGTCCGTCGTCGCCCGTGAGGATGGGGACGAGGAGGAGGAGGAGGAGGAGGAGGTGGAGGAGGAAGGGGGAGGAGGAAGGGAGTCTCTCGCCCGTCGTCGCTGCTGGCCGGTGGACCGTACAGTCGGGCCGCTGAAGAAGGAGCCTCTTTCGTTGGGGAGGGGCTCAGTGTTCCTCAACAGTTCTACAGGTTGTCTTACGTTTTCCGGAGGTTTTCGACTGGAAGAGTCGAAGTTCAACGTGTGGACAAAGAGGGGCCTTGCTCCTTACGTACGGTTCCTTATGACAGCGTTTCGATTGTACTGGCCCCGGGCCAGGGGCCATTGCAAAGTTCTTCCAGCCACGTTCGCGGGTCAAAAACATGCGCGTGGCGGCAGCCTTGTTCCACGCATCAACAGGGCCAGAGGTGCGGCCGAGACGCTCGTCAAGGGCGGTCCCCCTGCTTCCTCTCCTCCGTCCTCCGCCTCCCTCTGTTCCAACCGTGGCGTTGGTTTGTCGGGCAAGCTGCAGGGCCAGCGATGCGGCCGAGACGCTCGTCGAAGTCCGTCCCCCTTTCGTCCGTCCTCCTCCTTCCGCCTCCTCCCTCCTGTCTGCCTCGTCTCAGTGCGGTGTGGTGCGAGCTCTCGTGTCCGTTTGGATTCTCTGGATGGCGTGCGCCACCTGCCCGCCGGCCTGCCGCTTCATGCGCGGGCGGCGCCGGCGTCTCGCCGCGTAGTCTCTTGTCGGGCGCTTCGCCCCGTCCTGCTCGGAAGGCCGCGGTGGGCCCCCTGCGGGCTCGAGCTGCTGCCCCCTCGTGCAGGGTTCTTCGCCCCAACGTCTCCTCGTCTCCCTTTTTCCTTCTCCTCCTCCTCCTCATCATCCTGGGTTGTTGTTCCCCATTTCAGCGCTTTCGGGGGTGGACAGAACCCCCAACAGTGACACGTCGATTCGTGAATTGTCCGTTTTCGGCTCTCGAGAGGGCGCCGTGGCCGTTATTTTCCAGGCTTGCGCCCGCCAGGTTTGGGCCTCAGGTCGTTTTCACTAAACCACGTTTTACTAAAGGGGGGTCTGTCCATCCCCGACGCTTCGCCGTCCGCGTTGATTTCAAGATGTTGCAATGTTGCCGGTCGCTCATGGCCTGGCTCCTCCGTTTCGACAGGGGGCGTTGTGCAGGCTCGCTGTGCTGATGTGTGCGTGTTTTTTTTTTTTCTCTCTCTCTCTCTCTCTCTCTATCTCTCTCTCTCTCTCTCCCTCTGCCTTCGATCCACTGGGAGCGCCCCGGTTGCCAAGAGGAAAAGGAACGCGATTACCCCGCGCACATTCACGAGTTTGGCAGTGGCAGGTCCGCGGATCCCCACGCACGGCCGCGCCCGCACGCCGGCCAGCACCCACGAGCACCGGCGCGACCTGGAGGACCACATCACTCCAGCGATCAGCAAGCTCACTTACCCAGCGGCGCAGTCCTTGGAGCAGCACGCGAGGCTGCTCCACCACCGGCGCCCGCAGAAAGGTCAGGAGCCAGCACATCATCCAGCGCTGGAGCTGAGGGTGCCGGTTCGGGCGACTGCGTCGCTCGACCAGGGATCCGAGCTCAGGGCATTGGTTCGGGCGACTGTGTCGTTCGACCAGGGATCCGAGCTAGTCAAGCATCAGGCGCAGAGCCGCGTCGAGCATCACTGCGCGTAGCCGACGCTGCTGCAGGAAACGATCGGACTGGATTCGCTTCGACGGCACTACATATTCACCAGCACTTCGCAGTGACTCGCATGAAACCCGCATGCGGGAGCTGCGGAAGCTACACCTCCGGCGGTGGCATGCCACCAAGGAGGAAATCACGCGAGCAGTACGAGCAGCGAACATCCCACAGGACATCCTCAACTTCGTCCCCGCGGTGGTCAACAAGTGTAGGGAATACCGCAAGTGGCCACCGCCAGCACACCAGACCACCCTACACTCCGCATGTCGACACGATTCAACGCGCACGTCGCGTCCGACATCCTGTGCTACAACCATTGCGTGATCCTCCACCTGATATGTTGTGCTTCCTGGCGGCACAATGATCAGGAAGCCAGGTCCAAGCACGACTCGACGCTGCTTGCCGCCATCGACCGCTCATGGATCCAGCTGTTTGGCTCGATGGGGACCTTGACCGTGGACGGCGACGGCGGGGCGACCTCAGCGCACATCGTGGAGGAGATAAAAGAAAAGGAGGACTACAGGTTGACATGCGTGCTCCGCGCCAGCACGCTTGCTTATTCGGGCGGAGGGGCCATGTCACGAGCAGCGCATCGCGCCACGGAGGAGCAGCCGGAGCGCGCGGGCACCGCAGCGAACCTCGACTCCACGCCAGCACGCGCCATCCTTGCTGGAAACAGTTTCTCCCGCGCGGGCGGCGATGCGCCGCGCGACGTCGTCTCCGGACGCAGCCGCCCACGCTGCCACCTCTCGAAGCAGACGAACAGGGCGAGGCATCCGGCAACTGCTTCGCCGGCGCCGGGCCCCCCGCTGCCGGGGAAGTGCAGCCCAGCCGACTGCGGCGGCGCATCCGCGAGCCCTGCAACGCATGGTCGAAGCCACATCGATTGCACGCGTTAACCTCGCCCCCATGACCCGCGCCGCCGAGCCCGGGGAGGGCCGCTTCAACGTGGGCGACCAGGCGGAGATCCACCGGCCGCCAAGCACCGCGGATGCGCCACGCTGGGCGGGCCCTGGGACAATAATCATTATTGCAGATCCTCTTCGCGGCAAAGTGGCGGCCAAGCACCGCCGATCCGAAGTGGTCTGCAGATTGCAAGACGCCCGAGCCTGCATCGGCGCCATCTTCGGCGAGATGGTTACCGGCATGGTCCGAGCAGGCTCGGCCTGGGACCGCGCAGAGGATCGCCGGGGGCACATTGCGCCAGGCTCCAGGGCCAGGACTTCACGGGCGCGCAGTTCGCCGAGCAGGCGCGACATCGCCCAGACGCCCCGCAGATGCTCTCAGCCACCGGACGTTCGCTGCGCGACTCTCTCGCGGACAGAAATATGTCGGCAATTGGCCGGGCTGCACCCGCAGCTCGGCCGCCTGGCGGCCCCCTCGGAACCCGCCCTCGAACGCCGGCACCGACTCCCGGAATTCAGGCGCGGGCGCCCAGCGGATCCACTTCAACGGCGTCGCGTTCGACGCCCGCCAGTTGGCCAGCGAGCAGTGGAAGGAAGCTCGCGCCGCCCATTTTATCGCGGGCGATGAGCCGTCATTGGTAACGGGCGTCAGACAGGACATGGACTGCGCCATCGACGTTTCCGAGGACGCCGCCAGCGCCACCGAAGGTGGATCATCGTCAGCCTTGTCGCGCAAGCCCAAGGAGACAGGCAGCGACTTTTTCCGGCCACATCCAGCAGGCGGCGTTGGCAGCTTGGCGCGCAGTCAAGGGGGGCTCAACAAGGGGCTGTTCCAGCGCCCGAGCATCCACGCGCAGCGCCACCACTACTTGAGCGGGGCCCCCACGGGCGACGCGCTAGAGGACGAGGGCGACGTAGGCGGACAACTGGAAGCGCATGTCGACCCAGGGGTGCGCGAAGCATTCTGCGAGCGTCAACAGGCAGCGCCCGGCGACTGCGTCGCTGGCGCTGCTCAGACAGCGGCTGCGCCCAGCGACTGCGGCGCCGGCGCCCACAAGACAGCTGGGCTGGACATTTATGCCGCGGTCGAGGCCGCCGTCGTCAAGCGCGACGCTGACCTCCTGTCCAACGAGGAAGCGTCGAGGCTGTCGAAGGAGGTCGCAGCAGCCATCTTCTTACGGGGCTGCCGCCCAATGGCGCCCAGAACGCAACGGACTCCAGACGCGTCTTCAAGACTGCCAAGATCACCTGGCGCCACATGGCGCCGCGGTGCCGACGCGGGGGCCGGAGCCCTGGAGACGTTCGCTGGGGCAGCGACGCGGGCGCCGCAGCGCCTCCGCGCCTCAGAGGTGGCGCGTCGCCCCGACAGGGCGCGCGTCGCCGCTGACGGCGAGGCAGCATTCTTGCAAGGCATGACCCACGTAAAGATGCGATGCAAGAGCAGGGCGAGGCACCTCGAGAGGCGAACTCCGCTTCGACGAGCGGACCGATCGCCTGCGCCGCATAAGCCGCGTAGAGGCTGCAAGGATGTGCCCCGAGCCGCCCCCGTGAAGCTCGCCCGGGTCACCCGCCCATTCGAGTGCAACGCCGAACCAACCTGGGGCCCAGAGCTTGAGGCCAACCACGCGACGTCTGGCAGCCGCGCGGCTGGCGCCCCGTCGTTTGTGCACATACTGTCCACGCGCGTTGACGACCCGAAGATGGTTTGACAACAAGAGCACGTTAATTGGTTAATCAGTCACATCGAGAGCGCCTTTGACCGGATGAACGGCGACTACGACGACGTCACCAGCTGCGGAGCGCACCAGCAGGAGTGCCGATGGCGCCGTGGCGCTCGACAAGGACGAGTACATCGACGCTCTGATACCCATCTGACACGTCGAGTTGGCCAAGGCCAAGGCTGACGAGCCGGCCGGAGGTCAGTTTCCCGACCTCTCCCCCCCCCCCCCCTGGGAACAGCGGCTCACGCCCTGCCCGCCCAGCACCGCGTCGCAGCGTGCATTGTCGCCCTGCATGCAGAGGGCCAAGAACAAGCTGCTCATCCGACGCGCGATGCAGATCAACTCCGTCGTTCTGGCCACGCAAGGGATCAGGGCACGCATCGCATTTCCATCGGTGGAGCGCGCCCGGCGACTCAGCGCGCGCAGCGACGGGGCCTTCAAGAGGGGGGATGAGTCAGGATACGGCGTGACAGGAGCCGTATACATGCGTCCCAGCAAGTGAGCCGGTCGCACCAGTTTGTGCGCAAATAGTCACGCTCCGAGCTGCTCGGAGCTGCTCGCCGCATGCGGCGCAGCAGACTGTCTGCAGGCGCACCTCCTCACCGTTCAACGAGATGGTGCACGGCCCCTCCTCCGCCGAGGAGATCAGGGAGACGCGCGGTCCCCGCAGACCTTGTCATGGACGGCACGTCCGTTTTCAGCGCCCTTCTCATGGACTTGGCCCAGCCGCCGTCCGAGAATAGACTGGCTGGCCATCTGCGGTGGTTAGCCAACCAGCTGCGCACCAAATTGATCGACGAGTTGCACTGGTGCGACATTCAGGACATGCGGGCCGGCCCCATGACCAAGGGCAGCACGGCGCCCGCTCTGCAGCGCGTTTTGATACCTAATTCGCATTACGTCGGTTTACATAGTAATTCAACATCTTCCTTCTGACATCCTCATTTCTAGTTCCTTCCCTCCTCCGTTTCTTCACCCTCTCCTCCCATCTTCTCCTTGCTCCATTCCTCCTCTCTCCTCCACCTCGTCCTGTTATCCTTCCTCCTCCCTCCCCTAAGAAGACGGGGAATCGAGAGATGGAAACCACAGCGCAGGCTATCACCATGGCGCGCCGGTCGAAGTTGAAGCGGCGGCGGCTGTATTGGTCCGGCCGCGCCGCCTTATGCGCGCTGGGGGGGAGTGCACCGGGGGGGGGCGCCGGATTAGAAGCGGAAGGAGGAGGAGCAGGAGGGGCCGCTTGGGGCGAGGGGGACAAGGAAGGGGGGGAGCTGGACGAGGGGGAAAAGGAGGACGAGGACGGCAACGTTGATGGCGAGGGCGAAGGGGACGAAATATGGAAGGGAGGGAGGCGACGGACAAGAAGGTGACGCCAGAGGGGGGAGGTGGGGAGGAGGTGGAGGCGCAGGTGGGGGAGAAGGAGGAACACTGGAAGCGAGAGCTGGCCTCCTGCTCTTCCTCCTCCTCCTCCTCCTCCTCCTCCTCCTTACTCCTCCTCCTCCTCCTCACTGCTCCTCCTCCGCCTCCTCCTCCTCCTCCTCCTCCCTCCTCCGCCCCCCTCCTCCCTCCTCCTCCTCCTCCCTCCTCCTCCTCTCCTCCTCCTCCTACCTCCTCCTCCCCTCTTTCTCGTCCCTCATATCCTCCTCCTCCTCTTCACCTCCTTTTCCCCTCCTCCTCCTCCTTCTCTTCCTCCTCCTCCTCCTCCTCCTCCTCCACCTCCTCCCTCCTCGTCCCCGCCTCTCCTCTCCTCCTCCTCCTCCTCCTCGCCATCATCCTCAATGACCATCATCACCATCACCACCACATCCTTTCTCGCTTGCTCATCCTCCCATCCTCCTCCCTCCTCCTCCTCGCTCCCCTCCTCCTCCTCCTCCTCCTCCTCCTCCTCCTTCCTCCTCCTCCTCCTCCTCCCCTCCTCCTCTCTCCTCTTCCTCCTCCCTCCTCCTCCTCCTCCTCCTCCTCCTCCTCCTCTTCTCCTCCTCCCTCAAACTCCCTTCCTCCCTCCCTCCCTCCCTCCCTCCTTCCCTCCCTCCGTCCCTCCCTCCCTCCCTCCCGTCCGCCGAGGAGGAGGAGGGCCGCAGGCGTCTGCATTTGCCTGCCTCCAACTCGGCCATGATCGGTCGACGTTTTTCTCAGCGTGTGTGGTTGGCCACCAAAGGGGTCGAGTGGGGGAGGGTGGAGACAGGTAGTTTGCACGGGGCATGCTTGTGGCGGTTTGGTGGGAGCGGGCCCGGCTGGAGGAGCATCCAGAATCATGCAGATTCTGGAGCTCTGAAGGCAGGCAAGAGAGTGTGTTTGTTACCCTCTGGGCCATAACGCGCGTTATGCCCCATGCCCCCCCCGTCCCCATGACGTAACGCTCCCCCCATCAGTGCGTCGCCGGTACTGCCGCAGTGCGTCCGCCACCACAGTCTGGCGGGGAACGGTGCGTTATGCCCCCTCCCGTCCCCCCGCTCCCCCCCTTCCCCCCCCACACAACGCCCGCTATGGCCGCGAATCCAAAAAAGGTGTTCCGAGGGGCGCCAAGCTGATGGCCGGTCCGCACCCCGCTCGGCTGCGCCAAGGATCGGGAGACTCTTCACGGGGGGGATCCCATGGGGGGATAGGATCCCAGGGGGGGGATCCCATAGGATCCCCTGGGGATCCCATGGGGGGGCAGGAGGGGATCCCATGGGGGGGATCCCCTCCTGCCCCCCCGTGGGATCCCCCCCCATGGAGAGTCTCCCGAAAGGAGGCCCGCTCAGAGGAAGGACACCTCGTCGGACGACGGACAGGCCTCAGCCTCTCCCGGCCGAGGTGCCCCGGAGGCTGGCGGGGGCGCCCCCCCCCGCGAGGTTGGCGTCGGTGCCTCGCCGGGACGGCCCGCGGTCGGCCGGCGCAGCCCGCACGCGGCCGCGCCGCGCGCGCTCGCAGCCAGCGGAGCGTGCGGGAGGGCCTCCTGCCGACAGGAGGGGCGTGGGCCCCTCCTCCTCCTCCTCCTCCTCCTCCTCCCTCCTCCTCCCTCCCCTCCTCCTCCTCCCCCTCCTCCTCCTCCCTCCTCCTCCCCCTCCCCTCCTCCTCCTCCCCCTCCTCCTCCTCCTCCTCCTCCTCCCCCTCCTCCCCCTCCTCCTCCTCCTCCTCCGGCCTCCTGCCGACAGCAGGGGCGTGGCCCCCGCGAGTGGAGAGGGCAGGATCTGGAGCCGCCCAGGGGAGTCTTGCGGTAGGCAACGCCAGGCAAGAAGCCGGCCTGCCGGCAGGTGCCCGCGGGAAGCTTCTTGCCCCCGATGGGCCTCTGGTGGCCCAGAGGCCCCCACTGTTGCACCTCAGGAAGCTCAAGCCTCGACGAAGATTGTAGCCCAAGATCTCTCACATCAGAAGTCTTGTCCAATGTGTCTACTGTAGCTCCCTCCCAAGGGCGGGGGAGGGTTCGCAGAAGGCCTTCCTGCTCAAAGGGGGCAGGTTGGGATGGAGAGCTCTACCCCACCCGCCGACAGCCAACGCGCCGAAGTCAGGAGCACTGTGTTCGGAAAGGGCACGTGCCTCTAAATGTGTTCTCTCGGGGCACCTGGCAAAACAATAAACAGCAAGTGTGAAGGGGCGCGTCGAGGACTAGGAGGGTGGCGAAGTATAGAGGACGGGTGAGAGCACGGCCATGTGCACGGTGGTGTATAGTTTGCAGATGATAGTGGCCGTCCGGACCAACAATGCAGCTGGCATTGAGGCGAGAGCACGATTCCTGCATAACCCGTAAGTGCGAGCACTGTTTGGGGAATAGCATTGGAGATTGGGAATTGGTAGCTGCACTGGAGCTGCGACTGGGACCGAGGAACTCAGGACTGGTACGCAACGCAACGTCCGACCGAGCAGCTCGGGGAGCGGCTCGCCCCAAAAATGAGGCGGACATACAGCTGACTACTGCGCATGCACGGCAAACACACCCCTCCCTTACGTTCACACATTACGTGTGGCCTACTCATGCTCGAGAGCATTCCATGGAGAACTCTTGCCTTGTCGCAGTGCTTTTTGCAACAAGAAAACTTTCGACGACAGAAGCTTGCGCACAGAACCAGTCCACCTCGTCCTGGGTCTGCCCAGGGGGCTCGCCATCTATACCCCAGGTGGCGCGCCTTCCCCTCCCCCCCCCCCGGGGCGGCACTGCCCTCTCGCGGCTCCGCTGCTGGCACACCTGCTCGTGCACCTGCTGATTCGGTGCTTCCCTTTCACTCTGAGCCCGGGTGCGCCGCCTCCCTCCGGCTGCCGGGCAGCTGCTGCCGCCCGGCCCCCGCTTGGCGCACGCGCCGCCAACACGGGCCTTGCGCGCCACCCGTCGCGGCATGCCCCTGCGCCAGCTGGCCCGCGGTGTGTGCAGGGGGGCACCTGGCTGCCATGCTGGCCTGCGTGCTCGCGCCCCGGCGTCGCCCCCCCCCTCTTTGCCTGCCGGCAGCTCCGCGCGACCGGGAGCCTCCTCCCTGCTCTCACCGGGGCGGGGCGCCGCCTGCCTTCGGCTGCGCTGCGTGCGACGGCCTGGGCCGGGCTCTGCTGCCCCCCCGCCGCCCCCGAGAGCCAGTGGCTCTGCGCGTGCCCCCCGCTGCTGCTGGCCCGCGCGGCGGCCTGCCCCCGCCCTCCTCCTCCTCCTCCTCCTCCTCCTCCTCCTCCTCCTCCTCTTCCTCCTCCTCCTCCTCCTCCTCCTCCTCCTCCTCCTCCTCCTCCTCCTCCTTGTGGCCGACTTCGGGCTACCGTCGCCCAGCCCCAGTGCCGCAGCCCTGGCCTGCGCGGCGGACGCGCGCTGCAGCGCCGCACGGCGCCGCAGCCGCTGGCAGCGCCGCTTCCCAGGGGTGCCCCGTGGGGATTTCCCCCCGCCCCGCCACTGCGGCCACTGCTCTCAGCTCAGCCCGCCTTGCAGCCAGCTCGGCCTCGTCCCTCTGCATGAGGAAACTTGGGACGGTCTTCGGCCCCGCTGCCGCTGGCCCCCGCACCCACCTCTTCCGCTTGCTGGTCGTCGACCTCCCGCATTGCAGCCGTTACCCTGGCCCGTGAATGTGGTCGCGACGCCGCCCCGTGCCCGCGGCCAGGGGTGCAGCACCCGCTTGGCCGCCCCGGTCGCCCCGCTGCGTGAGTGTATGTGTTCTTTCCCTTCCTCCCGCGGCCGCTCCTCTCTTCCCCTTTCCTTCCGCTCTTGCACCCGGGCAGTTCACAATGCCGTCACCCGGCTTACCCGAGCGCGCGCGCGGACTGCCTCTGCCGCGCTGCGGCGTAAAAGTGTTTTCAGCCTCTTGGTTGACCCTATCCGCGTCGACAGGGTCGCGCGCGCCAGACCCCGCGGCGCCGTGATTCTGCCACGACACGGGCCCCAATATAGCTGGGCCCCGCACACACACACGCGCACATGCACGCACTTGTTGTTGGGCGCCGCGGCTCCGCGCGCACCGACAGGGCGTGGACGCGTCAGAGAAGCGAGCGCGCACGCGCGTCCAGACGGCCGCGCGCACACAACAACAACAACAACAACAACAACAACAACAACAACAACAACAACAACAACAACAACAACAACAACACCAACACCAACAACAACAACAACAACAACAATACTTCTAAGACTGATCGTTCTTATTTGCCCGCGTGCCATTCAAAACGACTTCCCCACAACCTCGATACCCGCCCATGTTGTCTTCGATCACACCCCTTTTTGGGGGAATTATTTATCTTTGCGGGGGGCGGCGGGCTTAGACAGGCGGGCAAACCTGAACGGGCGGACAATCTTTCGTGGGCGCACATGTGCCCGCCATTGGAATTTGTGTGGGCTCTGCAAACAGAGGAGGGGATAACTAGGGAGAGTAAGCGGAAGGGAGGGACGAAGGAAGAGGGAAAACGCCAGGAGAGAAGGAGCGAAGAGGGGGGCGGTTGATTAGAGGCAGAGGGAGAGAGAGAGAGAGAGGAAAAAAAAGAGATAGAGAAAAAAACAGATAAGAGAGGTAGAACAAGAGAAAGAGAGAGAGAGAGAGAGAGATAAATAAGAAAGAGAGAGAGAGGGGAGAGAGAGAGAGAGAGAGAGAAAGAGAGAGAGAGAGAAAATAAATAAAGAAACATAAAGAGACAAAGAAAGAGGAAAGGAGGAGGCAGGAGAGGGGGGGGGGAAGGGAGGAGGGGGAGGAGGGAGAGGGGATA